TGAGTGACGAGAGCATTCGGATCTTTGGGGCCATTGGTTCACAGTGGCATCAACTGCTAGGATTGGATAGCAAGAAACCATCCCCATCAGCTAAGCATCATCGAGTTTTGTCTTATGGGACACCACCGGCCAGTCTTACGCCAAAGAGGTCTAGATCACCATTGGGAAGGCCACAGCCAGTGGTTTTTATGCCGCCGCTGACCAGTCCGTCCAGTCCGTTTCCGGCCGGGTTGCTAACCCCAATGAGTTCAAATGCGTCTGAGTATGAACCATCAGGCTCGAAGCCCATGGTGTTTCCCAGTCGGCCACGATTTGAAGCCGCAACAACTGGTGTTCTACCATTGGCCACCGTCCCCGTCTACTCTGGAGAAGAGATCCATGAAGGGCTAAAGAAGGTGCTGAGCCAAGAAGAGCCCGAGTTCCGTTCGGACGAACAGAGAGAGGCCGTCTTTGCAGCGCTAGACCAACAGACTCCATTGATCGTGGTATTACCCACTGGTGGCGGTAAGACGCTGACATTTACACTTCCAGCCATACTTCGGGACCCAGGTGTCAGCATCGTGGTGGCACCGTTCAATGCACTCGAGAAGGACTACGTACGGCGGCTGCGGCTTGCACATATCGAGCACATCGTCTGGCACCATGGAGAGACGCGGTATGCCCCCGTCGTCGTAGTCAGCGCTGACCGGGCAGCAACAACCGGGTTCATTACATATGGATCAATGCTCCGAAAAAGAAAACTACTATGGCGTGTCGTGCTTGATGAATGTCATCTTGCATTTACAGCTAGTAATTACCGGCCCAAGCTACGGCAGCTCGGCCATCTTCAGGTGCTCCGGTGCCCCATGATCTTGCTGACGGCTACACTCCCACCGATTCGACTCGATGAGTTGCGAGAGGTGATGCACATATCCGACTTTCGTCTGATTCGTATGAGCACGGTTCGGGCCAACATCCGGTACATGGTGCGGCGATGTCCCAACAAGAGTGCGTTGAAGCTGGTTACGGAAATGGCACGATTACGGCGTCTCGGGCCCGGGGAGCGTGGAATTTTTTATTGCAGTAGCCGGGATGGGACTGAGGAGGTGGCCAAGGTGTTAGGATGTCCGCATTACCATTCGATAGTTGATGAAAAGGATGCAGCTATAGAAAAGTAGTTGAAGGAAGCGGGTTTTATGGCTGCAACTGGGGCGCTTGGCACTGGTGGAGACTATCCCGGGATCATCTATATCGTGCACATTAGTGTCCCGTATGGCATGATTGACTTTGCACAAGAGACTGGGCGTGGTGGGCGAGCCGGGGAGGATGTTGATTCCATTATTCTACTTGAAGATGCCGAATACCAGCGGTTAGCGAAACAAGACGCTGCGGAGTTGACGGTCGACGAGCTTGCCATGCAACGGTTTATTCAGACACGGGAATGTCGACGTTTTGCCATGAGTGGTTATCTCGACGAGGAAGGACAGACTTGTGAGGAGGTCGGCGGACGGCTTTGCGACTGCTGCGGAGGAGGGGTTTCGGATTGGACTGCAGGCCAGGTTCGAATAGCTACTGAGTTGCAGCGATTTGAGGGTAAAATGAACGAGGTTCAAAGGCATTGTGGGTTCTGCTGGGCGACATATGGGTCGGCTGAAGCAGAGCATTCGCCAGCGACGTGCACGAGGACTGGTGGTTTGAATGTAGAACAGAGCGAATGGCTACGGCAAGGCATTCGGCTCGATCGAAGGTGCCGTGACTGTTGGAAGTGTGGGATCAGCCAGCAGATCTGTAAAGGGATCGAGAACAAGCAAGCATGCCAATGGAGTGGTGTTGCGGCGTGTCTATAGCTCAGCTGGTTTTGTCTTCCCCATAGCCAAGGAGCACTCGCTGAAGGGGGCTATCATAGCCAAAACATTGTGGAATATCGGAAATGGCTTGGTCTTCGGGCTCGACAGAAAGTCCAAGGCGCCGTTGTCAGCAACGGGATGTGGCTTTTATGGACGATGCTCCAGAGAGACGATAGGGCTAACTAACGTTAGTTATCGTCATAAACGTGGTTTATGGGTTTTTTTTGTATGGTGAAAATAAGGTTTGGTCCGTGCCCCAGAAACGTCGTTTATGAGTTAACCCCAACCCCACCAAACCCACACACACAGAGCCCCAAATCATTCAAAACAGGTCGAAATAACCCAGGAACCATGGCCCAACCGATCCCCCAAGCGTTAGCCCATTTGATTGGGTTAAATGTTGAGTTTTGTACATTGATTTGTTTGCAGTGCCAGTATGCGCAGAGGCCCACATATATTTGTCGGCATTTGGGTGACCGACATAAGGTCCCCATCGAATTGCGAAAGCAAGTAGAGGAGTATACCAAAGGATATCCGTTTCAATATAATTATACCAGTGTACAATTGCCCAGCGACGGTTCAGCCCCCCAGCCCATTATTCCCGTTTTGGATAGGTACAAATGTAAGGGTTGCCAATTCAAAACCCACGGGCGGGATACAGCCAGGCAGCATTATAACAAGGACCATAATCAGAAGAGGGCGGCAGATGAGGATATATTTGAATTGGTCAAATTGCAATGTTGGTTTGGGGCAAAGAGAGGGAGGTTTTGGATTGTTGATAAAGCCAAAGGCCAGGAGTAGGAGCGCCAGGCACGGCGAGCCAAGACCCGTGACGTGGGAGAAGAAACCGATCATTCAGACGATAGCAACGATGATGGGGAGAAGACCGGAAGCGATCAGGATGATATCGATGATTAGATTGTCCAGGATATCGAAAAATGGAAGGGCGAGGCCCAGGAGCGGCGATTGCGGACGTTGAAAGAGGTGCCCGTCGTTGAAATAGATTCGTGGTTGCGGTATATTAAGTGGAATGAGGTATTAAGCCAATCCAAGCACAATTTAGTCGAAACATTCCGTTATACCCGTATGCCCGACCCAGAGGAGCCGCAATTAGAGCGATTATTACGTGCGTGGAGTCGAATTTTGGAGCGTTGTTTGAATACGTTAGAAGCGACAGACCACAAAGACGTATTAAAGTGGTGGGCATCCCCCAAAAATGAAGCCGCGGACCAGCGCCCATTTAAATTACCACAAAATGCCAAAAGCGTCGATAAGTATAGTGGGATTTTTGTATGTTTCATTTGTTACATAATACGTACGGCGCCATTAGAAAACCATACCGATGAAACAGGTATGTTGGATTGTTTTTAATGATTCGGATATAATTTCCAAAATATCATATAAAATTTGACCACGACCACAGAAACCGGAGTGAAATACACTAACGCACAATGGAAATGCATCTAAAGAATCCGGGGCGAATTAGATGAGGGTAACCCCGCAGATGATGAGACTGAAGATCGACCATTGACCAATACATTGATGTGTTTGTGTATGTTGACGGTAATATAGGACACCAGCCGAATTAGATTGTACTATTCGCCCATGATGCATTATTTGGCCGTCCGAGGAATCGATGAACAAAGCCAGTCATTACGATCGGCGTTTTTTTACACGCCCATTTTGGCAGGCATGTTATGGATCAACCGGTTGATCATGTTAGAAGTGGCCATCCTATGCGAGCCATGGCCGGAATTGCACTTGGACAGCAAAGCCGACGTTGATTCCGTACCGGACCGCATCCATCAGTTACGAGAGTTGGGGTTAGGGTTAGGGGTTCATATTGCACTAATTATACGCCGAGTGCTAGTATACATATTGAAGGTAACCATAGTCGTCTATACCGGTGAGTCTGCTCTACTAATCCAAGTCAACAAGGCCCCCTCAGACCGCACCATGCCCACCACCGATATTTCCAAGAGAATTCCGCGTTCCGCTTCTGTCTAATACCGCTATAGTATTGACAATGCCTACTCGTGGTCCGGTTACGCGCTCCTATAGATAGTCCCAACCGTAATCCCGAAACGCATCCTCAAATCTATGAAGGGTACTTTGCAGCACCAAATCCGTGAGAAGTCCGTCACAATAACCTATGAGTTAGTCTAAGAGGAGCAGTATGCCCCCCGTCGAATGCCAATAGAAGAGAGGTCTATCATGTACTAAAGTAAAATTCATTACTAAGGTCTAGAAACCCGACCCAATAACCCATCTCCTCACCCAATGGGGTTCTATCACAGCCCCTCCTACCACCTTAAGCAAGGCGATATTTAGCCCTGTTCCTAGGAACGGGGAGTTCCACTTCATATACGGCGGTGTGTCTTCCGTGAGATTAATGTCGAGACGTCCCAGTTCTTCCTCTAAACCTATCCCCATGAAAGTTATCCCGTCTACCTCTCCATCCTAGGCTTTCTCGCTACCCGCGGTCCTCTCTACTTCTTTAGAGCACTTCGTCGCCTCCTCTGCAAGACCTGCCGTATTCTTCCCACGCCTAAGGGATTCGTAAGACCCGATACTTGAGGCAATCCACCTCTTTCTCCGGACTTGAGCTTTTGCTAAGGTATGTTGGGTTCCTCCGCTATCGGTTCTCGCTTCCGAGTTCATATAACATCCGAACCAAGACTGATTTGTGGCTCTTTATCGACCTGCCTAGTCAGTGATGCTTTTATCGACGTCTCAAGTCAGCGATGAGTTTGACGACTTCTTAGGTCAGCGATGAGTTTAACGACTTCTCAAGTCAGCGATGATTTTAACGACTCCTCAAGTCAGCGATGAGTTTAACGACGTCTCAAGTCAGCGATGAGTTTAACGACGTCTCAAGTCAGCGATGAGTTTAAAGACTTCTCAGGTCAGCGATGAGTTTAACGACTTCTCAGGTCAGCGATGAGTTTAACGACTTCTCAGGTCAGCGATGAGTTTAAGGACGTCTCAAGTCAGCGATGAGTTTAACGACTTCTCAGGTCAGCGATGAGTTTAAGGACGTCTCAAGTCAGCGATGAGTTTAAGGACTTCTCAGGTCAGTGATGAGTTTAACGACTTCTCAGGTCAACAGTAGAAAAAAAAAGGGACCTGTGACGAGACATTTCCTGTTTCCAGGAAATGACTCGTCACAAGCCAAGACCCGACCAAGAATCGAACTTGGGTTTCCTCCTAAATCATATGATATAAGAAGCGTCCTAACCACTATACTACCGGGGCTGTGATATTTGATTCTCCTTGCTAATTTCCCTATATAAGGGTATTACGTAGGTGTCACCTTTCTCTGTTGTACTCGTGCCCATAGGTCGTCTTTGTCAATCCCCCGCTTCCCTTATAGACAAAACCGCGTCCCCTACTTCTGTTGCCCACACCTCCCCAAGTCCATCTCGGATCGTTCGCAAAACCTTTACTGCTTTCCCAACCTGCTTAATCCCTAACCAAAAATCAATTGTAGTAAAGCGGTTCGCACTACCCACGCCCAACTCCCATTGCAGTTGCCGCTTAACTGCCCTCTCTCTTCGTGTCAACCGAACCAGATGCTTCCAAGTCGGACACGCTTCCTCATGCCCCCGGCGGAACTTTCTTCCTCCACCGCAGCTACAAACGCACCCATGCATAAAAACGCCCCGTCGGTACTGCAAGAGTAGTACTTGATTATATGCTAGTGCTGTCAGGCAAATATCGACGCCCGTCGAGGATCGAGTACTCCTTGGGATTATCCTAGTCAGGTGGGCCTGGTTCGCGTTCCGATCAACTATTGCCTTCTTCGTAGCAGATGCAAATCGGGATAGTGCTACGGGGATTGTCGGCTCAAAGGTCGATGTCCTCTGGAACTGGTGGTACAACGGCTGGGTCTGCAGATCTATTGTGAATCGGCACGAGTAGTACTGCAGGAGTTGTCGTAGGGGGCTTTCTCGTGGCATTTACTCGATGTTCAGCTGATACTGGAGATGTAGCAACTGCAAGCGCTGCAAGAAGCTCGGTAGGCCGAAGAGGTTGGCAGTCAGCTTCCCCCTTGTCGGCGCCGCATTCGCTATCCAGCCGATGAGCCGGTCGTAGTCCGTCGTCGCCTGGGCGAAGTCCCTGGGGTGCTCTTGAGCCCACGCCCAGAGCAGCGGGGCCCCATACTCAAACATCGGGCTGAGAAACTGCTTAAAGATCCCCAGGCGGTCTGCGGGGATCCACCCGTCACTTTGCGACCCCAGGTACGCCATCCGCTGCAGAGCGGCCTAGATGCGGAGCTGGAGATACGACTTGAAGTCGACCCCGGTACTACTCACGGGGAACCCAAGGTACTTGTACGTCACCCTCACCGGGACCTCCTCGCCGTACACAGAAACCGGATGTAGGGGTTGCGTCGTTACAATACCACACTTGGCGGGGTTTAACATGATGCGGTTCGAGATCGTCCAGGCCTCGACGATGCCCAGCAGGCGGAGGAGGTCTGCTTGGGAGTCGACTAGCAAGACCCCATCATCTGCGTAGAAGAGGCACCACGGGACCCTCTCGCTTGTCTGATTTAGTTCCTCGAGGAGATCATCAATAAAGATATTAAATGACCAAGGTGATAAGGGAGACCCTTGTAAGATTCCTTGCGTTCGCAGGAACCAGGCGGTAGTGATGTCGTTAATCAGTAGTCTTGATTTCAAGTTAGTAAACATTAAGCCTCGTAAGAGCTGGCGAATATATACCGGGCAACGCCGCCTTGCCAGCTTGTTATCGAGCAGGGTATGATCTACCACGTCAAACGCCGACTTGAGGTCGAGGAAACAAGCTATTGATCGTTCCTTGGATGCGAGTAGGGCGTGTACCACTGCCACGTTACTAAGCGTCGAGTAGGTCCGTCGAAAGCCGGCCTGGCCATGGTGTAGCCGGGCCCACGATTGGTGCTGACAATCCAAGAGGAGGAGCCGTTCAAAGACCTTGCGGAAGATGCAGATAATAGAGATGGGGCGTAGGTTGTTCGCATCTCGCGGCTTCTCTGGGTCCTTATCTAATAGGTAAATCTCGGACTGATTCCACGCCAGCGGGGTTTACATCTGGCGTCGACAGGTGTTATAGAGTAACAAGAGCCAGTCGATCAGCGAGGTAGTCGAGGCACACTTCAAGAACTGAATATAAATCCCGTCCGCTCCACAACTCTTGTCTGCTACTTGAAGACGGATCTCCTCACAGAGCTGCTCCCTTGACCAGGCTTCAATAGGCCCATGGTTCTCTAGATCGCTGGCTTGGAAAGGGGTTCCCCGCCACCGCTCCTGGAAAAGCGCTAGGTTCTCGGCCACGGCATCAATCTCCCTCTCTTAGGCTTGCGGGGTAGGGACGATCGGGCGGTTCTCCTTGGACGACCTACACGCCTGCTTGTAGAGACGAGCACTCGACTGCGATGCTGTAACGGCTTCCGGGGGGGTATCTGAGGATCGGTACGATTGCCGTCCTACTGTCTGTTGCAGAACGAGCTGACACCACCTCACTAGCTTCTGGTTCATCACGTTGATCGGATCCCGGGCTGTAAAGGGGCAGTCGTCTCCCTTAATCCGCTGGCACACGAGATCTTGCATGCTCGCGGTGGCCAGTCGGCCAATCCGAAAGCGGGCCATGTCATTTTCGGGGACCGCTTGTTGAGGAGATATCACTACCCCTAGGGTATACTTGTGATCGGTCTTGAAGGTCCGATTAGGTACTAGTTCCAACCGCGGCGGCTCCTTACTACGCGCAAAGCAGTGATCGGTAGTTAGTTTTAGCCCTGGGACGCTCGGCTTGAGGTGTTCAAAGCCGGTCCGGACCAGGAATTCCCCAAATGCCAACCGTCGATCCATCGGACCAGGTAACCCCTCTTGCCAGAGCGGGTCTAGGAAGCGAGTGTTAATATCGCCCAAGATAATCGTCGAGTACTTGAGGGAATCGAGTACCTTGGCCACCTCGCTCGTCGACATCGTCTTAGGGGGGAAGTACACCCCGCTAATCGTCTCCTTGCCCACGGTAAAGGTAATACTATGCGGGGTCGCCTTGACCTTCTTGACCCGACCCCTGCCCCGATGGGTCCCGATGAAGTAGATCCCGCCATGGGCCCGCCCTGGTTGTAGCGTCTTGACCGGCTCTGGTGTGGTCGAAATCAGACGGCGATTACTCTTGTACTGATTATGGTTGGAGAACCAGGTCTCGGCGAGAAACAGGTAATCAAAGCGCGACTCGAGCATCTCTTGACACGCCTTCCACGCCCCTCGATCCAAGCCCTGCACATTCACGTATCCTATGCGGAGGCTCATAGTGGGGTATCGAGGGAGGCGTTGTTGACAAGGTGAGGTCCTAAGCGAGGGTGCTCAAGGGGGCTAAGCGAGCGACGGCGGGACCTTAAGCGAGGGGCTTAGCAGAGCCGCTTCTTGGTTCCAGCGGTAATCTCCCTTTCTTTAGGCCCTTGGAAGACGTCGTATGCAATCGCAGTTGACGATTGAACTCTTTGCCGATGAGAGGATTCGCCTTGGCCTCGTCCCGGATGGGCTTGCGATCGGCGGCCGAGGCTACCGAATGCCAACGCTTCACCAATGCTCGCGCTGCACTAGTAACCTGCCAATTCTCGAGTTCCGGGTCGTCTTTAGGTAAGATGGTGACGCCGGCGGAGCTAGGCAGGGCCTCGTCCCTCGGAGAGGGCGGGGGAGAGTCCGGTGGGATATTTTCCTTGTCTCGAGGGTACTGGAAGGCCTTAGGGGACCTAATCTTCTCTGTGGTCGATGATGAGAGCGATCGGCTCCCGGCCTGGACTGATGGGAGGGAGGAGGAGCTGGAGTTGGGCGGGATTTCCAAGCCACGCGGATCGCTCGAATCTGCAAAGGCCCGCTGGATCGTTTCTTCGCGATACCGGACCTGCTGTTGATGGACCTGCTGAATAGATTTGATAGCTAGGTCCACTTGCAACCCGAGTTGGAGTAGGCCCTGGCTGGCGCCCCGGAGCGCTAAGCTGCGTAGGACCTGGGCTTGCTCCTGCCACTCCGTCTTGAACTCGACGAGGACCCGTAGGTCGTGCTCTGTGAGGCACGCGGTCCTGGGTGGTAATGGGGACCGGGACGGGGTCTGGGATGACCGGTTAGGTTTAACCACCGATCCCTCCCTAGGTGCGGAATCGACCGAGGCTCTGGGTATAGACGATCTCCCCTCCACCGAGGAGACGGACGACGAGGGCGACGACGACGACGTCTTGTGTTGTTTCGATTCCGTAGATCGGGTCTGCTTTGACGAAGTGGAACCGGGGGTAGGCGCTGGGGTTTCGGAGACGTGAGAAGGGTTTGACGAGGAGCACTCGATCGAGGGACGCGGGGTCGTCGGGCCGTTGTCTTCTAACCTGGGTCGTTTAGGACTCGGTGGTACCTCGACGGCCAATCCCAAGGTCCGTCCTCGTAGCTTCCCCGGCAGGTAGGTCCCTAACGTCGTCAAGCGAAGCTCCTCTAGGGTAAACTCTGCAATCGTATCTTGCAAGACTTGTTGGAATACGAGCTCGCCTAGCTGCTGGCGCGCGGTGGAGATGAAGGTCTGGTTAGATTGTCAAGGGCAGCGGATCTCGCTCTCTCGCCTTCTCGAGTTAGTTCGGCGGCAGGCCCACTGGCGACGCTGCTTCCCGTCCCGCGAATCCTTCCCTACCAAGTCCCGGGTAAAGATGTTATTCTGCGGATCGTCCTGGCACTCGGAGCAGTATATCTGCTGTCCAAAGGTAGTGAAGAGGGCCTCGGCCAGCTCCCACCTACCAGAGTCGGAGTAGAGTGAGGTTTGGGACAACGGGCGAGGCATAGGAAAGGTAAGAGGTGGCGTAAGGAAGAAGGTAGAAGAGAGAGGTAAGTGGGGATAAGTAAGAGGCAAGGGAGTAGAGAGGAGGGTGGAAGGCGGCTTTATATATCTTAGGGAGGGGGGATTTTACTGTTAAAGCCTATGATATTTGATTTTATATACAAGTATTCGTACTCGCAGATCGATCTCCGCTAGAATCTCTAGCGGAGATCCGCACTAGCGTTCCCCCCTTATACAAGCCGAGGGCTATCTCTGCTAGAATCTCGAGCGGAGATCATCCCTAGCGCCATCTCCCCTCGCTTTTCTAGCGGAGATCATTCCTAGCGCCATCTCCCCTCGCTTTTCTAGCGGAGATCGTTCCTAGCGCCATCTCCCCTTTACCTTCTACCTTTCCTTTTCTCTTACCTTTAGGGTGGGCCTAGTATACCAATCCTAAAAGATTG